GTTCCTTCAGTCCTTCACACTGTCTAAAGTRCTGAKACATTRCAGCKCTTTCAGMACCWTGGACAGTTCCTTCAGTCCTTCACACTGTCTAAAGTCCTGAAACATTTCAGTACTTTCAGCACCTTGTACAGTTCCTTCAGTCCTTCACATTGCCTAAAACCTTGAAACATTTCAGCACTTTCAGTACCTTGGACAGTTCCTTCAGCCTTCGACACTGTCTAAAGCAGGGATTCCCAACTAGGGGTACGCAAGCATATTACAGGGGGTTTGTGGAAAAATTTCCCAGGTGTACAAAAAATTTAATAAAAATAGGACTGAGATATGTAAGGCTCTATGAATTCCGTAATGCAGAAATTGCAGTTGGAATCATGGAATTAACACAAAATGGAATCCAGTATAAAATGTGGAATTTCACAGAATTTGCTAATTTGGGTGTGTTTCTGACATATTTGGGACAATGCAATGTATTTTGGACAGTGCTGTTTTCCGCACCTGCCATTACCTGCTTTATTTATTTAATTACAACATTTTTATTTTTATATTTATTTTGAGTTGAAAAAATAAAATGCCTGTGAATTAAACATTCTGGGGGGTTAAATAAATAATTTACATCTAATAATCGGTTGTAGTACATTATAGTTTTGGAGAGTCATCATTATGTTTGAATGAAGGGGTACTAGTGATATGACAAAATGGCTCAGGGGGTACACAAGTCTAAAAAGTTTGAGAATCACTGTCCTAGGTCTTATGTGAAAACATATCGTCTCATATGTTATTGTATTGTATTGTGTTCAAAGGTATTATGATGTATCGTATTTTATGGCATCATATTTATGTATCGTATTGTATTTTATTCTCTTGTATCCTATTACATAGTACTGCAGCATTATGTATTGTATTATATAGTATCATATTACACCAAAGATGGCCACAGACCTCTAGTTAAGAAACCAGAAGTTCACCTCGGCAGCTTCTGAACTCTTTTCCACTCTCCTCCACTAAGTGGTAATGAGGTGTCAAACTCAGCAATCTGTCTGGTTATAAGAAACCTAACACACAATATAGAAAAAAAAAACTTTTCAGCTTCTTTGCACTCCAGCTGTAATCTATATACTGTATACATTTACAGGCAAGGCAGGCGAGGTCAGAGCCTTCTAAAACTCTAAAAATGAACAAGAAATAGTTTGGGAAACTTTGGTGCAGAGGAGGATTTTAGAAAAAGACGTGTGTTAGAGGCCAGAAGATTAGCAGTTCAAGATAAATGTTACACCAACACCAAAAAAAAAAAAAAAATTGTTTTTGCTTACTAGTGGCCTGAGCTGAAAAACAGTCCTAGAATTAGTTTCAGGTATTTATACTATAAATAACAATACACTGTGAAAGTAATTAAAGTGATGCAGCACAAAGAGGTTTCAGATTTCACTATAAACATGTTGGAAAATGGGGAAAAACACAACTTTGGACCTAAAAATTAGAAGCTACATGAACCAACAATATTTATTTATTTAAATACGCTTCTTTGTAGCTGGCATCATTTAGCACAGCTGGAGTGAAAACTTTCAGATGTTTTTCACTTTATTTTTTCAACGTTTATTTCTTGCAGTCTATAGAGTTGTAATCATTATTTCCTTATATTTTGCTTTCAAGCAATAAAAAAAGAAAGAGAATTTCACAAAGAGTTCTTTAGACTTTCTGAAGGTTTTTTTTAAGGTTTATATTTTTTTTCTGGAAGGACTGCTTTTCTACTCTTTTATGTATGTTTAAAAGTCTGAAATGTAAAAAGAGGACAAATAGATGATAAAAAAGAGTTCAGTCTAAAAAACTTTTTTTTATAGATTAAGTGAAAGAAATGGGAACAAATAGTGCCTTTTTATACATGTATGATTCATAGACAAGATCTTTAAAAAACAGACAAAACCAATGAACTATTGATCCAGTTCAGACAGTTTAAAATAAAGTTTGGAAATAAAATCTAAAAAATGAGCCAAAAACAGTGCTTTTTTGTCCCAATTTCATGTTAATAATTTTAAACCATTTTCCCTTCATCGGCATCAAGGTTTAAGTTATTTGTAAGCTTTTCATTTTCAGTTCTACCTTTAAAGGGAGCCTCACTGCACCACACGAGATGTGGAGCACAAGAAATGTGAGACGGACCCTCTTAAATAACGGATGATTTAACCCAGTTCAGGGATTCTCTTTGTGATTTTTTAAAAAAACAAAATACAAAGATGCGCTTTCAGCTTGAGAGGCATTATTTCAGCGCCCTCTTCAGTTTTGTGATGCCCCATTTCTGAGTAACGACTCACTCAGTGCGCTATGCCATATCTACAAAAAAAAAAAAAATAGAGTTTGCCCAGAGACATTTCCAGGGCGAGACACAAAGCTTTCACTCTCAAACACACTAAATAGACCTACTAGCCAATCAGAATTAGGTCGGGGCAGGCCTTGGGTCTTAACAAAACTTTGGTTAAGATTTAGCACCAAGCATGGTCCGCAAGTTTACGAAGTAAGGATAAACCACTAAAGATGATGATAAAGACCTAAAGAACAAATTGRACCAGGCTGGGATAGAGGAGGTTTAAAGGCTCTCTCACACTATTCCGACAAACTTTTCATAAGTTGTCTAACCTCTGACGAAAAGATCAATGTTGAAAATAGAATTTAAAAAAAATTTCTATTTGAAACCTCTTTTGGACCAATAACATTGACTGCTATGCATCGTATCAACAGCCAATATGAGTAAAATAGTCACAACAAAATTTTCACAAGTTGGCATAAATTATCTAAAATGTTATAGATCAGGGCTATTCAACTGGTGGCCCGCGGGCCACAATCGGCCCGCGAGTGACCAAAGTTCGGCCCGCCAATTGGTTCATTCATCTCTTAAGCCCAAACCCCCAGTTTTCTACTTTGATCACTCTTAGTTCTTTTAGTTAAACACAGACATGTTTGGTGTCTACAGAAACGTCAGAATCTTGGCCAGAATTTGGTAAAAACCTTTTCTATAAACACTCAAGACAGTTAAAACTACAAGCAGTTGAAGATAAAATGATGAAAGTAAAAATAAAATTGGTTTAAAAATTTGGCAAGTCAGAGATGTTAAATATTATTTGTGTCTAATAATAGGAGGCAGAATGTGTTCTTTTTGTTTTTGATAATGTGTAATTATCACTACTTTTACAGGGTTCTGTATGTTGTACTCATGATTAAATGCAGCAAAATAAACTAATTCAAAGCTAACAGATTTTTGTAATACTTGGTTTATTTACATAATAACTTTAACTACTGGATGTTCGGCCCCTCAGCTGTTGACCGTCAGTAACTGTGGCCCCTGGAGAAATTTAGTTGAATAGGCCTGTTATAGATCTTTTAGTAGCTGTTGTGTGTTGTTGCTACAACCTCCAGTTATGAAACCTTTGTCAGTGTGTGTAGTGGTACGACCCCCGACGTAAAGAGTCAAAACCCTCTTCCAAAATCCTAGCTAAAAGCCTGATCTGTTTGTTGTTTAATCAGATGTCATCACTTCATCACATTATTGAATCGCAGAGCCGTCTTCTTACCTTTTCACGTTGACTCTTTCGGCTCTGTTGCTTCATCACTTTAAAGAACAAAGGTGTATAATGAAGACTGGCTTGAATCCTACTTGGCCCCTTTATCATTTTAGCCTTATTTTTTACAAACACAGCAAAATCCTTCACTCTCTTTACCATCAACAATCTCCAGCCTCGCCCTAAATTAGTCATCTTTCAGCTGCTTTAGTTTAGTTAGAATTTGCACTTGATTCTGTCTCTGCTCCTGACGTTTTCAAAAATTTGCTGCCATTTAAGCAGCTAAACGTATTTAATGACTTCTACACAGAGACCCTGCAGAGGTTAAGCACGGTCTATTTTATTGTTTGTCCGTTTAAGTGTAGATTGTTGTGGCATCTAAACAATAGAAACTCCTCAGAATCAGGGAGATGAATGATGAAGCAAATTTTGTGACTTCAGAAGGCGTTCTGAGGCCCGTTTACGATGAACAATACACACAGTTTAATGTCTGTCAACAGACAGCAGATGTGATTTTCATTACTGCACCACTCAACAGCCTTCCAACAGATCTCATCACAAACACACACACAACAGATCTCACCACAAAACACACATCTTGAGATCAGAACATCTAAACAGGCACCCAGAGAAGAAGCTGGCAGATGTAGAGCTGCTCGGTGTCAATCACTGTGCGTTTCACAAAACATCTCTTAGACAACAGATCTGCCCTTATTTCTGTTCAGGGTAGTAAAATAAATTTTTTTTGTTTGTTCTGATTTTATCTCAATATTTGGACTCAGCTTCAACCAATAAGTGACTCATGCAAGCTGTGATGTTGGACTGCCAGGACTATTAACATCACACAGATGAAACTTCATTTAAAAATAAAACAAGAGTTGTTTGTACTTTATTTAACTAGATGTGCTCTACTTAAATTCTATGCAAAACCAGATCCTAGTGTAAAATTTTGTCCCTTAATTTTATTTTCTATCTAATTCAGTATCTGTAAAACAGACAAAGTTACAGCTGTTTGTGCTTTTGTTTGGATAAATTTGCAAAGACAGCCAACAAACATCAAACCTCATCAAAATCTGCTCACTGCTCATCAGATGTTTTGCTAACACAAACACATACACACGTACTGGCAATTACTGTAGCTGGCAATACACATACAAAATACTTCAATTCTCTTTAAATAGCATACAGTATGTCTTCATCGATAAAATGTATAACAGTGGATTTTTATTTCTCTATATCTAAAAAAGACCCAAATTCTTAAAACTGATCGTTACATACAGGCTCAAGTTTTGATCTGATCGTTGTTGCCACCTCCTCAGTAAGAAACGTCTAAATGAAAATTAGTCCCACTGATTTGCAGGACCATGACCACCACTGTGTACCAGGATCTTGTAAATAAATAGATAAATTAAAAAAAATAAACGTGTAAAATGTTTTTTTGTGCGTTCTTACGATGTGCAGCTGAAGAAAGTCTCCGAGCCCGTGGGTGCTCTCCACCCGCACCAAGATGGCGTCCTTCTGCTGAGTGCTGAAGCCCACAGCTAAGCGGTCGGCCCGGGTGCTCGGCCGTTCGTTGGGGGCCCAGGTGAAGGTGATGAGGGCCCCTCCTTTCCCAAAGATATACGTGGTCCCAGCTGTAAAGTAGAACAGGAACGTCAGCACAGAATGATGTAAGCTGTGAATCTTTAGGAGGGGGTTAGAGGCTTTATTAGCATTGCTTCATTAGCTGGTCGAGTCCGTGGACAACAACTCCAACTTYTTAATTTTTCCTTTATGTGTCATCTGCTTAAAAATGACTCATTCTACATAAAACGCCAACCAGTCCAGAGAGACAGATTAATTAAAAACACCTCCTTTAAATCATAGAAAAGCTTCGTTTAAATGGAATAAAAAAAGATTTAGATGTGCGTGTCGCTGCGACGTCTTGTTCTGTTTTTGGATTAAATAGGATGTAGAGCAGATTATCTGACACATCACTGTAAACACTGACTCACAGTCCAGCTCTATAAAACCACAGTGATGATTTAATGTCAGAATAAATAACATTTTTAATTATCTGCTCAAAATACTGGGATGTTTCTCTACCCTATGCTTCTTTTTTTTCCCTCAACATAAAATATAAAACTGCTCATTTTAACTGATATTTTTGAAACATCTACATACGAATAGTCCTGGCAATCAATATACATTTTAATTTARATTAAAACTGTTTTCATGCTTTGTTTTTGAGCTTTTTTTGACTGATGAATAATGTTTCCTCAAAGTTCTTTGTAGCTCAGAAAAAAATCTAATTATACTCTTTTTTTCATGTCTGTTAACAAAATATCTTGTGAATCATTGAATGAATTTTAAGGAAGCTTGCTGAAAGTAACTACTGGCTGTACGTCTGCAGCTGATTCACTTTTAGAGTCAACCTGACTCAAAATGGCAGCCACAGCCAACTCACTCAGAGAAAAAAAAAWGTCAATAACTCAGTTAGTTGTACAAATATTAAACAAAAATTTGGTGTGTTAGTAGCTGAGAGTGATTCCCAACATAACATTTAAAAATGTACAAATTGCTCAAGATTTTGGTTTGGAATTAGAGTGGAATTTTTCCACCAASAAATCTGCTCGTTTGTTAGCAAAATATCTTGTGAACCACTGCCCTGATTTGAACAAAACTCTCAGGAAGTAATAACTGGATGTACATCTTCAACTGATTACCTTTTGGAGTCAGTATGATTCAAGACGGCTGCCACAGACAACTGATTTACAAAAAACACAATAAAGTAAATTACTCATATTTACTAGCCTGGTTAAAACCAGACCCTTGTCCTTCGCTTTGCTTCATACGAGGGTCTGGACTCTCGAATATAGAGAAGTGGTTCTTGCTGGAGGCGTGGCCTCTGCTGAAGTTTAAAATGATTGGATCTGTTGGCCGCGACGTACGCCTGCAAGCTCCACTGTGAAGGAGTCTAAGCTAAGAAGTTAACCGGTAATTGCGTGTGCTGTAAACAACCCTGCTGAGAGGAGAGAAGTACAGAGCTGAACGAGACGACTGTAAATGAGAGCTGCTGCTTTGTRAGACAAATTTAATTTAATTTGGAAGCCTTATCAACTCAGACTGGCTTCATTCACTTCCTCCACTGCTGTATGCTAAACTAGCAGACACTGCAGAAAATCAACTTCGTTCAAAACTCCTCCTTCTGTTCTCTGATTGGCCCAGATGAAAATTCTCCTGAAGAAATCCTTCTCTATAGGAGAAATCCCAGACAGAGCAGTGAAGGAAAACTAGGATTGAGTACTTGTAGGAAAGTACCTGAGAGTTTTTCACAACACATACTCCAACTTGGTGCTTATTTGATAAAACATTTTGCTTTAACCTTTGGGATAAACCCTGTGTCTGTTAGCAAAATATCCCATGAACGTCTGGACTGATTTTAATGAAACTCTTAGGAAGTTATCCTTGGATGAACGTCTACAAYGGATCAACTTTTGGAGTCAACCTGAATCAAGATGACCGACACAGCTAACACAAACAGCTAACGCTCAGTCAGTTTAGGAGATACTAAGTTAACACTTCAAATGGCTTTAGCTGTAAGTCATTCTGCTCTCAGCATTAGTAAATCACTCAAAATCTGTTTACAACTCAAGATGGCGAGAAACATTTAGCTTTTATCTAAAAAAAGTGWTTTTTTTTTTTTTTGCTTTTCTTTGAAGATTTTGAAATGAATCGATTTAAAGCTTATTGAAATTCCTCCACCTGCTTCTCTGGAGTCTGGCAGGTGCACAGCATCCACCTGAACTTTTTATCCTTTTTTTCTTTCTTTTTTTTTTAAATCACATACGTCCTTCTTCTCCACTCAGAACGATCCCAGTCTCCTTCAGATAAACGAGGTGTACTCATGTTTAATTTGTCGTGTACAGATCTGGCATGAATCGAAAAACATCCTGCACGGTTACAATCAGAATCTCAGTGTTTGGATTGCTCAGGTTGTTCACTGAATTCACAGCAAACCTGGCAAAACTCTTCAATTTGAGTGGGAGGATCGTGAATGGGWCTGTAATCCCCCCCATGCTTTTTTAAAGTAGAATTTAAATTTAAATGATGTCAAAGTCCGGACTTTAAAAAGAAGGAAAACAGATCACTGCACAACAGATGTCTGGCAGAAACGTCCAGTTTGTGTTGGTTTCAGATTGTTGTCACAGCTGAAAGCAGGTATTTTCCAACACTTTGATCTGCAAATATACACAGAACGTTGAAACGATTCTTCTTGCCCCGGTGCAATAAAAGCTTCATATTAGGAAAAATCCGGCCTTTAACATTAAACGCCTCATCAAAGGGTTGAAAAACACCTCGGACCAACTTTCAGTTTAATTGAAAGGGCGAGTTCTCTCAGGCTGATTGTTTCCGAGTCAATTAGTTTTGACTGAGTTAATCTTAATTAACGACTTGGATTTGCAGTCAAATGTGAAGCGGTGGCTTCAGTCACATCAAAGAGTGGAAAGACAAAAGGGTTTTATTAGTTTCCTCCTTTCAGTAAATCTTATCTTCATCTAACCTCTTAGTCCGTCCTTTCCTTTTTCAATTAAACGACTTTCCATCAGGGACGTTCTGGCTGCAGACATTCAACAGATTTTATTTGTGTGCGTCTTGAAAACAAAGCGGGGCACCACTTCGCTTTACCAGCCTTCCATTATGACTTCTGCTGACGTGAAGATTCACCTTCATCACTGAGATTCTGAATTCGATCACATATTTCTGTTTATTTGTCAACCTGGACACAAAAACTGCATTTGCGAGTCAGGATGGAGAAAGCGTAGACGATGTCTGCTGAAAGGTGTGGCGCTCTATCCATGATAGATATGTGGTCAAACAGTGGATATCAGAGTGTTTGTCTCCAAGCAGGAAAAAAACTTGTGTTGTGATGTATGTGTGTGTACTGTGTGTCTCAGACCCCGAAAGAGCATCGACTGTTCTTTGTTTATTTTATTCGTCATAAACTCGGAAGAGGAAACTTGGTTTAAAGGAGGAAGAAGCAGCGTTGATTCAAGTTCAGTTCAGTAATTTTGTTAGAACAGCAACATAAAGACCTTAGAGGAGGAGGAGCTGCTTTCAGGGACACTTTGGAAACTAAACAGAAACAATGAGCTGAATTAACAGGTTCTGAGAGACGAACATTTATCAGCATCTTGTTGTAAACCAGATGTATGAGAGGCCCTTTAGGCCATAATTCAAACTTGCTCTCACATGCACAATCAAACTCTCTCACATGCACAATCAAACTCTCTCACATTTACTATCAAACTCTCTGAATGCAAATAAAAACTCCTTTATATCTAAACATTTATCAATATTCCAGTCATTCAAATCATGCATATCTTATAATACATACTTGTTCATTTGTTCTATAGGTTTTAGAAGGATTTCACAAAAGAACAAATATTTTTTATATTGAAAATATGTTGGTACTAGTGGTGTACTATTACAAAATGCCCTGATGCTCCTGACCAACACCAGCATCCATCAATACTGGGAGGGGTTATGTCTTAGATCAGCGAATAGTAAAAAACATTAATATTGGATGTGGTCTAAAAAAATGCCTATTTGAGTTTGTACCTTGGTACAGTAATAGCCATAAATAAATAAATAAATAAATAAATAAATAAATAAATAAATAAATGGAGAGAGAAACATTTAACAGCCATAAAATAAGGAAGAAAAATGCTGCGCTACAGGTGAAACATGGGCATTGCATCACATACTGTATTGTATTTTTTTAAAATATGGAACTGAGTTTATGTTAATGTTACAAAATCAGTGTATTATATTGTTCTTAATAAAATAGCTTGAAAACTCACAAAAGCATTCTGCCTGTAAGAGTTCAGAATYTTTTGATTCTTGAAAAAGGAACACATTAAATTTATTTATGCATTAGTTGTGAGCATAAAAGTGTCAAAAGGTTTTTTCATTGTTAAAATAATTATAAAAATGTGTTTGGTCTGCGTGCACTGAAACCTTTCTCTAATATCTTTCTTCTGGAACAACTCTTTGCTGGATGCACAGAAAGGCTCCGACTAAATTGATTTTCATTCTGCAGAAATTCTTCAGTTGGGTTCCAGCAGCGGTGCTGTTCGGCTGCAGCAGACTGAAGAATCAAATCAATACGTAAAAACTGCTCTTTAGTCTGAAACGCTCTCGCTGCTCTTCAGCTGCACTAGCTTGTTAATCTGAAGTGTAGAGAAACATAAAATCATCTTACACCACATCTCTACACACTTGTTATTTTAAATTTCTCACTGTGATCAAAGATCAAATAAACAACGGCCTAATGATCCATTCATCTAGGTTTAACACTAACCTCACTCTTTTGTAAAAACTAAAGAAAAAAAAAATTATAGTAGTAGTTATTTTTAAATAATAGTAATTAATTCTGAAAATCCTTTCAAGACCCCACATTGATGTTTTTTGGACCCACAGTGGAGTCCCTGCCCCAGTTTTGGGAACAGCAAATTTTTACTTAATTATGTAAAATTTACTGATTTTTAGCTATTAATGTGTTGGAGCTGTGGCGGCCATCTTGACTAAATTTCATTAAAATCTGTTTGGTGGTTAATGAYATATTTTGCTAACAGACAGCACAGACTCCAAC